AAAACATAATAATACCATTTGAATCAAAATTTCGTATACCTCTTTATTCTAACGCCTCGGCAATTTCGTTGAAATGTTCGAAAAAAAAAAAAATTGAAAAATGCTATGTCATTTATTAATTGTTATTGTCTTTAATATTGCACGGGCCCATTTGTCACGGAGCGACGTACGAACAATATTGCTCAAAAGCATGAATTATATGATATATTGCATAACGGTTAGTATACTAAAACGTTCTGTTAGCCCACTGAATTAATAATCGCCAGTCGTCGCTGCGGGTGATCATTGTTCTCGTATCGGATGAAATATCATAGAAAACACAAAAATACTGATTAATATCAGATCATTATGTTACTAAAATGCGTATTACTCAATGATGATATTCGGTAAAATATTACCTATATGACCAGGACTAGGGACTTATATAGGAGTTTGATGAGTGTGCATGTTTTCCGATAATCACATTCAAAAGCTAAGTGCTATAGAAATTTGTTTCGTAATATTTTATTCAAAATATCTAATGGCGATTGTGCACATTTAAAGATTTGTTAAGGCATAAATAGCATGCGTTTTTAGAGCACGCAGTATAGTTCTTAGCCTGTATATGAATTTACGATTATATTTCAAGAGTATAATATCAAACGTCTTTCTTCTGTCGAAAAACCTAAACCCCTAATTAACAACCCTAAAGAAAATATCCTGCACTTAGAACAGAAGATTTTAAAATAGGTCGAAAATGACCCTTATGGATTAGCACTAGTTGGCAGTGCAACGTATAAAACGGTCTAATAAATTTGTCGGTACAGGTTATTCGGCAACATTCAAAGTTTGTTAGAACTCGCAACAAATTTTCAATTTCTAAATTATTTTCTTATCAATAGCATGGAAGTTTGTTATAGTTTGTTAGAATTTTAGATTCTAAGCCAAGCGAGGAATGTATTAGTTTTACAATGATGTTTATTTCATATTCTGAATGTAGCGAAGAATGTATTAATTTTACTTAACCTTAAAGAATTATTAATTATTTTCATCCTGTATACAAAAATTTGACCATAAATCTTGCTCAGATATACACGTGGCCCCATTTCTGAAAGTGAATGTTGTCCAGATGGTACTCTTGGGAGGTCATTTTTTGATTTTCGTAAGAAAAACAAAAAATGTACGAAAATTAATGCTTTTATTATTTTATCAATTTTGTTATTTGTTGTTCAGTTGAAAATATCCGTAGACTTGAAATTTGGACAGAAAACTTATATTTGCCTTTTATAGACGTGGTAAAATTTTCAAAAAATTTAAGCCATTTTTGAGCTATTTGTAAACATTTTATTTTGCGAGTTTTGTACGTAATTTTTATTCGGTAGGTACTCTGTAGTAAAATTGTTAGACTAACAGAAATGCTTGAAAATTTAACAGGAAGTTCATAAAATAATCTTACTTTGTGGTAAAAAAAAAAAAAATTAGTTTAATGGAGTATTTGTTTTTATTAAGGAATTTTTATACTACATTTGTCGAAAATCGTTTAAGTAAAAAATTATGTGGAACAAATCTAATTTTTAATTTTTTTTTTTTCAAACTTACGTATGTTACCGATTTAAAGTCAGAATAAAGCGGACAGATTAAATTTCAAAATGGTCATGAATACGTATTGTCATAATAGGGGTCTCGAGGGTTCAAACTCGATGTTTGATAAGAAATTGTTTGTACTTTTTTTCCCTTTTACCTAAATAGAGATGAACACAAATGCATTTTAAGTGTATCTAGAGACCTAGCTATCGCCCGCTAGGACGATTTTTATCGAAAAATATCCCTCGATTTGTTGTGTAAATTTTCTACCCGAAATCTTGCTCCCATGTATCAAATGTAGCTTTTTTTCTGAAAGGAAATTTTATCTCCATGGTTTTAGGAGATAATTTTTGTGATTTTTCAATCGGTTTTCAGAATAACTGGGAAAAACCGGGATAAAATGTCAGAAAATCGGAAAATGTACAAAATGTAGGTATTAGTAAAAGAATATTATGACCTTTTTTTTTTGTGTACAACTTTCTACTAGCAATTTCGCTCAGATTTACAATGATAGCACTTTTTCTGAAAGCAAATCTGACTAGGAAGGTTCTTTAAGGAAATCATTTTTCCATTTTTTCAAGAGTTTTCTTAGCAAATGTAATAATGAAGGAAAAACGCAGGAAAAACGAAGAAATCGATATAATATTAAACAAATATTACTAAAGAAAATATATAATGCATATTTAATTATTTTACTATAATATAACATATATAATTTTGACAAAGCATCACTATCAACTAAAATGCAGTCAGAATCGTTTTTTCATTAGCAATGGTTTATCGTTGCTTACAGATATACATTAAATTACCTATAACAGTGGCTGCACCTGTCTCCATTATCCTAGGACGTCTTTTTTCATTTCATCTGTGAACGAATTTTCTACCATAAATAAGTGGTACGTCAAAGAAAAAATTTTTTGATTTTCCTAACTATTTTCATAATAAATGGGAAAAATCGGGAAAAAACTGGAAAATAGGTACTATACTAAATAAATATTATTAAAGAAAATATATTATAATGCATATTATGTAACTATTTTACCATAATATGACAAATTATAACAATAATAATAATAATGACAATATTGTTGTTAAAGCAATTTTATTAACCTAACTCTACTCAGAATCGTTTTTCGTTAGCTATGGTTAATCGTTACGTACAGATATATACTCAATTTCCCCTCTATCCTGCCAACTTCTCACCTACAACAGTGGCCCACCCATCGTGCGAAGTATGTCCGTCTTTTTCAAAATATATTTGAAAAATGTCAATTTTTTCACTAAAATAAACAACTGCTGCTAGTGTGTAGTTCCCAGCGCAAAATTTGGGATGAATGACAATACATTTGTTTCGCATAGCGATCTGTAACTAACAAATTTGTTAGACGACTGCTAAAAAATTGCCCAGTGATGTTTACGCACATCTCCGTAGTATTATTCAATCGCCATGGTTATTATATGGTTATACTTTATTCTTATCAATGTTTTAAAGTTTTTAAAAATGTTTTTCTTGTTGGGCCTGTTCACTAGGCAACTGTAATAATATTTGAATTTTATTGTGTTTGTGTTTATACGATAACGGCGTATTATTATACCGGTAAAACAGGTGTTCTATATTATTATTATATATAGGTATGTCATGTGTCCAATAACCGTTTGTCATTCCATAATACGCGCGGACTGTTGGAGGTTTTTGCATAAAAGTAAAAGCAGACACACAGAAGGGTCGGAATGAAAAATATTTAATTCTACAACGATAATATTACGTAGTTTCGCATTAAAACCAGTTTGTTTACGTTATAGGTCAAGGTGTGCAGTAGTATTATACTTTTAAGTATACGAGCGGAACGGTCGTTACGGATTAATTTAATAAACACAGCATTCTTAAAAATATATACGCATATAAAAAAAATGCTTAAAATCTACATTTTTGGTTTGGTGTAAAAAAAAAAAAAATAAAAATGTAAAACAATCTATAACGTTTACCCTTTCACGTATTGAATTTTCCGAACATTCTGACGGTGATTGATACTAATGGCCGTGTAAGAACCGTCGTTAAATCGTGGATAAATAGGTGAATGCGTGTGTGTGTTGTGTGTGTGTGTGTGTGTGTGTGTGTGTGGTACTCGACTCGTTAAACAGTATATTTAAAAAAATTTTGAAGTACAAAAACGTCTGGTAACCTTAGTTATAGAGCTCCGATTCTTACCTGAGCTTTGGATTGAACTCGTTTTTTTTATGATGAAATTTTACTGGAACTGCTGAAGAAAAAGAAAACATTTCACGCCGACACTACAAATAATAACAATACTTATGGAAACGGGGCCATGCGATGTGACGAGTAAGTATTACCTAAACAGTACAGCTGGTGTGTAACACAATTTAAACGGCCAAGTCCGCCTAAATCATACCAAGCCCACTGTAATGTTATATAATTTGCACGGCCGTAAACCCCCTAACCCCCTCCAGCCGTAAACTCGCCGCTTTACCTGAGTATACCAATTTTTTTTCCTCGCGAGTATTGACAATGATAATGCAGAAATAACGATTAGATCGACATAAAACCCCGCCGTGACATTGTTCGACAAAACGCGTTATTTACTATAAATTATATTTCAAATACCGTCCATTGTTCCGGTAAAATATAATCGTTTCAATGAACGAGTATTAATTGTTTTAGCGTTAAAATGGATTTCTAATTCGATACCTATCCATAATAATACGCATACACCGACGTTTAATTTTTCGAAACGTGTAAAATGTATGTGTGTTTTGTAACCACACGCGCTTGTATAAAATCTTTCTTTTTTTTTCATTCTGATATTTGACCGGCGTTCGAATAATTTAACATTTCGTATTCAATTACTATAATACACAATAACACCTACCGTATCGTGTTGCTGCAACAATATCGTTTGGCTCCGATGTGACTCTAACATAAATATCGACCCGCAGGTCCTTGATCGATAGTAAATTATTTGTATTTTAACGAAATGCAATGTACATACAGTTCACTCTCACGGCAGGCACGTTTTATATTATATTATTTATCATTGGTGCGTTGGAGGTATTGATTTCTTTCGTCGCGTCGTTCGGCCTCAACGGATAAATATATATATATATAATAATATTATCTGTATTATCCGCACGCGTAATTCAATTAGTTATTCTTTTATAATACGTTTCATAATATTTATCACGTGTGGGATTCGTATTGTATCCGATATCGGATGTAAAATCCAATTCGTTTATAACCTTGAAAATGAAAACATTATGTTGATTCGATTGTCCGAATCTACAGCTGTTTACATAGGTTTAGTAGGAGGTGATGGTATACGACCCGATACCATAATTGGGCGTGCACGGGATCCTGGACAGGAAATATAATAATTATTGTTTAAAAACAATGAATAACAGCGTACAAAAAAAATGCACAATTTTGAATGTAAAACACATAATATGATGATGTTATATTACTGCAAAATATAGTTTACACTTAACAAAACTCATTCGTTGCTGACAAACAAAAAAAAAACAACGAACATTACGTGTCAACTCTTTAAGTAAAACAATTGTGAGCACGTACGTCTCACTCTTTTTTTTACAAAAAAGTTATGAATAAGTAATACATATATATATAAATAAATAAAAAAATTAATATAAAACTCCTATATAATATCACAATATTATTCGAAAACGATCAAAATCGCGGTCGGCATACCTGCGCCTGCATAAAATATACTCTAAATTAATCATTTTTTACTCGAGTACTCGTTTGTTTCACGATTTTTGTAAAAAAAAATCGTACGAATATATAATAGCAATTCACGTATAAGATAATTGAAATTGTATTATTTATATAAATATATATTATCGTAATAAAAACTAAACGTGAATAATGTGTCTACCGTTATAAACGAAACTATATATACTTAATAAAACAACATGAAGAAATAAACTAATGACTAGAATTGTATGGATCTTAATATCTATATTTTATTTTATTACTGTAGGTATATCTCTGGTCCAAGAAAAAAAGGGCGAGAGTTAATTTTTTGATATATTTTTTTTCTATAATTTTATACTGTGCAATTTTTTTCACTTAATTTTTCGGTGTAAATTACATATAATCTTGCGTGCTTTCAAAATTAGTGTATGTATCTTCGAAATTAAATTTACTTGTATTGAAATCTATACCTACAAAATTAACTTACACTCTTTCTTTCCTGGGAAAGATATAATAAATATATATGTATATACATAATACAAAATCAATTATATATATATTATATTGTTATTAATATATTCGGAGTACGTATCATGCCTACATAAACAACGATGAAATAGTATATAGGGGCTAAGCAATACCTGCAATAGTAATACAAATACTGGCGAGTGTGATTCGTTTAAAAAGTAAAAAAATCAGACGAGACGTGACATCACCGGTACAGTATTGTTATATTTATAAATTAATAAATGTTTACAATTATAAAAATGGAAAATAAAAAAAGAACGACAAACGTTAATGTAACGGAACGTGATCGCGATGGATGGAAATAAAAAAATTATTGTACACAAATATATATTAACGACATTAAGTGTGACGTTAAAATTCAGTCGAAAAAGCATAGGTAAAGTGATGGGCAACGAAGCCCGTTCGAGGGAGGGTTGACGTCACTACGATAAAACTACACGAACTACTGTAAGAGACATTTGTTTGGCCGTGAACGGAAAATTGATTAACCGTTTAAAATCAGCCTAAATCCTCGGGGAAGCAATTGCGCTTTCTCTATAGTCTTATCCTACGTTTCGACGGACCACCCACACCGGAAAACGGACAACTATACCCACCGCTGGGAACGAGCTCTCTGCCACGAGAACGCTCCGATCGGAACATAAGAATACCGTACGGGGTAATAAAGAGGCAACGTGGTCGGTCAGTTACCGTTTCGCAGGTTGGCGCTGGACACTATGTTGGCCTGTATCCAGTGGTGGACCTCCAACGGGCATTCGGGCTTTAACCTAGGCGCCTCCTGGTTCCCGGGGTTCTCTTTGGCGTTCTTGGCCAGCAACTCGCCCATCAGCTCGTCGACGTTACAGTTAATCACTCTTTGCCGACAGTGTACGATCGCGTTCACGAAATTGTCACCCCGGCCTACGAACCTGTGCTCCATGTAAATGGAATTGTGATCCCAGTACACAATCCGGGACGATATGCTGTACAGGCTGAACGTCCGGATGAATTTGCGGTACCGGATGCTGGAGCCACCCTGCACCGGCAGACCACCCTTCTCACGGATCGCCTTCCACAGCCCGGTGCGGGTGTAGAACTCAGTCCGGGCAAAGTCCACCTCGCGCAGATACCTCGAATTGTTCATGTGGAACAACAGGAAATCCACGTCCGTGATCAGACACGCGGACGAGAACGACGTGGTGTCCAATATGTGCACGTACTTTTTGAACAGCTTGCACGTGATCGTGCACCAGAACGTTCGGGCGAAATAGTGGACTTCGAACACCGAGTAAAGGAGCACGAGCACCAGCAGCACGGTCACCGCGATTGAGTACAAGTCGCACGCGAACAAGTTGAACATGATTGAACGAAAATCACCGAATACCGATAAAAATGAAGTACGTCTGTCGTTTTTCTATGTTAATCTCGCGAGCGAAAACTCTTGAACGGTGGGCCACGACGCGAAAACACAATTAACTGAGAGCGCGTTTAATGTCGTCGCGAGCAAAAAACCGTAACGAAAAACCGCCTCAGTGTATTATTGTAATTTCCGCTCTCGGCCGTCGAGTGTATCGAAACGATTGGAAAATAAGCGCCGCGCACACGCGAAAATTGACAAATGTTTCAATAATACGATTATCGATTATTAATTATTGTTATGCACGCGCGTCGAGGTGTACTTGTCGGGTGGGCACTACACGGAACGTAACACGCGTCGTACGATATTAAAAATTCGAAATGTATAATAGTATACCTATATTATATACAATTATTGTTTATAACGATATACCGCGTTTACACAAAATGTTTATTATAATAATGTCAAACCGTCGCGTTGTGTCTGGCGCGCGCTCGCGTAATATTCGACCGTTTCGGTCACCGTTAACAGTATGACTGAAGCTGAATATCGGTACACTGCACCGTGTAGTGTCGGAACGAGCCGTACCGCGACCGCAATAAAATCGTACGATAATATTTTGGGAACAATAATTGCGAACGTTGTTTTGTAAACACGAGTTGTGTCCAAACAAGTGGCGGCGGTAAACAGCTGACCTCGTCCAGGGCTTTCCGCGTGCAAATCCATCCCCTACTATACCGACCGACCGACAACGACGAAAGGGAACATCGCGCCAAACGAAATTGTTGTTACGATAACGATGACGACGTAGGTACCGGCGATGTACCGCGTGTACCGGTGGTTCTCAACCTTTTAAATGCGTTTGCGCCCCTTCCACCTCTGATTTCACCGTGATTTTTATCGTCTTTAAAAAATTATTCGGATCCGTTATTATTATAATATGATTATTGCTAGAGACCGGATTTACGTGATCTTAAAATCTACAAAAAAGCGCTTGAAAACAAAACAAAATCATCGAAAAACGCACTAAAAAATATTTGGCAAAACTAAAAATGATAAAAGAGTTTAAGTCTCTCCACTAAAAACGCTAACTTATTAAATTAAATTTTCAAACATTTCAAAAATAATTTCTTTTAAATAAAATCATACGTATTAAAAAAAAAATTGCTTTTTATTAACCAGATTTGTAGTGTTAGACAATTTTAATTGTAAGTTAAATCCGTTAAAGGGAGGGGGGACTTTTAAACCCATATATTATAATTTTAAGTGTTTTTTTTTTTTAAGGATTTTTTTGAAATTTCAAGTGTTTTTTTGTGGATTTCAAGAGCATATAAATCTGGTCTTTTATTACAGTTTGTTTTATTAATTTATTAATACAACATTTTTTTTTTTTTTTACGAAAATATTATTTATACGAGAATATTATAAAACGCCAGACCCGTGCGCAGGATTTCTTCAAGAAGGGGGGGGAGGGTTAAAAAAAAAATGCATAATATAACTACACTAATTACTAGTAAGATCAAAGGTCAACAATACAAATTATAAGTAATTTTTCGACCACACATATTATATTTTAAGAGTCGTTCAGAAATAAATTTATTTTTAATTGTATAAAATCAATGCCCAATTTTCAATAACTTAGATTAAAAGATAGAAAAGATAGAAAGAATTAGATAGAAAAAAGGCAATTTGAGGAGTCCGAAACTGCAACCCCCTTTCTCCCCTTCCCATTTATCTACCGGCTTGATAAACGCATTTACGAAACTTTATTTGTAGGCGGGTTAAATTTGTACGATAACAGTGATCCTACACACTCCGTAATTGTTCACGAACACAATTATTATTATAATTATAACATATTCCATGTTTATTATTTTATTGCATCGTAAACACTGCGGTATTATAATAAGATATTTATAAAAATATTGTACAGTTTGAACGCATTAATCATCATTCAGTAAAAAAAATATTATAATGTTATTAAGGACGACTTCGAGTTGGTTCCCGGGTTCTCTACAGGAAACATACAAGTTGATTCCCAGATTACTATTACCCGTTATTAAGGTAATGATTATTAAAAATGAATTTTCGTTTCGCGGATAAGCTACAGACAATACCAGATTATACCAGAGTAATACCCCGATTACTTCCAGTTGGGCATGTGTTTACACAAGGTGTTTTATATCGTTCTTACGGTTTGTGCTGTTTATAGGGAAATAGATATAGATTAAATTAAAAATCCTGATTATGTGCGTAATTGTAATCGGGATCCCGCGGATTGGTCAATGTGTTGCTCAACATCATAGTATATTATAGTTGGATACACGCCACTGACTATTAGAAAAACTTGAAATAACATTACAAATTATATAGGCAGATGGCTTGAAACGTACAATACGCTTTATGGTCATGGGCGTCGTTAACGCGATTAAAGATAGTAAAATAAAATTATGTGTGGCCTTATGTATCGACGACAATAAATAATTTGTCGGCAACCGCACCGCGGTCAACGTGAACTCGGTAGGTATGATATTATATTTTTGGGCTATATGTAAATTCCTACAAAAATGACCTTTTTACCTGTATTTAAAACGTAGTGTAAACTCCTACATAGTCCCTTTTTACCTGCCAAAAATAGATGGTGTAATCTCCTACACAGACCCTTTTACATTTTAGATTCTGAGTATAGCGATGAATGTATATTGATTTTACAATAATGTTTATTTGAGATAATTGCACACAAGTGAGAAAAAGCGTACGGTTTTAGGATTTCATTATTTTAAATCAACACTCACGATGTTTTATACCGGAAATAGTTCTCTAATGGAAAAATGATTAGAGACCTTTTTTGTTGCATCCTAGATAAATATTCGTAGATTTACGAATGTAAGATAATAAAATGTAAAACAAAATTTAGTAAACATATTAATATAAGGTATCGTATCGGAAATTCTCGAATATTTCGATAACGTCTACCAACGTTATTTTCGTAAATTGGAAATACAACAATATCAATCTAATCGATCTCTTATTTTTGTAGTTTATAATCGATTTTTACTTATTTTACTTTTTACAACTTTACAACTGTCTAACGTAGGAGTTAACACTATATCAATGTAGGGGGGATTAACTGCTTTTGTAGGAATTTACCATCCCCCCCATATTTTTGTGTTGGGTTCCCGTCGTCGGGATTCACAAACCAATGGCACCGACAACGAAACCAGTTTTGTATTCGGTTTTTTTCTTGCCTTTCGATTTAAATCGGATTTTTCACCGGTAGGCTTGGCGCCTTCGCGTAATCGCGTCATCGCCGTCGCAACGAGTCCTCGAGTCCGGTTCACGATAAAACGCGCAATCGGTTTTAAGGTCGTGTATTGTCGGCGCGGCGAGGCGGGCGCATACCGCACTCAGGGGCGACGCGGTCGGATCTCGTCGGACGGGCAGTCCGTACGTATATACATGTACGTACATTCTGCGTACGGTCGTCGGCCGATGACCGATCGTCGGACCGGGAATTATTCTGCCACGGCGTCCGCCGCCGGTCCGGCGGCAGGACTCCGGTGCGCGGATATTATTTCGACCTACGCGCAGGCACATCGACTACATGACACGTAATAATGTTATCGCGAACCGCCGATAAATCATTCGTAGAGACGGACGTAATTTCAGTAAATTCCTCGGTGTAAAATATTCTTATTTTCGTTTCGACCTCCCTAATTAAATGTTATTTGTCGAAATGCGCACGTTTAAATGCTCTAAATCAATCGTACGAAGTTAGATATTACGGAATATCAATAAAAATATTTCAAAGAGCAGTGGCAACTCCGTTTTGTTGTCGGAAGGAAAAGTAAAACACACACACACACAAAGCAATATCGAAATTCCTGTTTTAAAATAAATTATAATTTGTTCTTTCAGTGGACGCGCAATTTCAATATTCTATTCGGAATGACCTTACACGTTTCGTTAATCGTGATTCATCTGCATTACGTGTTCGTATACACGAAAAAGCATATGCACATAAATTCTGCAGAGTTTCCGTAATCTTTACGCTTATTTTTGTTTTTCAGCCGTTCGGATGGGTATACGTTTAATTCGGTGATGTTCTTTCTGCATTTCGAAATTAGTATTCAAACACGTCATATAAAACACCGGCCGGGTTTTTGTTAAATAAAAAAAAAATACTGGGCAAGATATTAACTATGTATTTGTTTGAATAAACTAGGAAAATTAGTTACGCGTTATTTTTAACTGCTAATTACCTACTACGAGAAAAAATTATTATTTTTCGACCGGAACATGTTTTTTAAGAAAGTTGTTTGTTATAAAATTAGTATCTGTAGGTAGGTACTCGAAATATCGAAATAATAATCATAATAATATCTACTATTCGCAGTGATAATTATTTATTTTTTCAATAGAACGTCTAGTAGTGTTTATGGAATATTATAATTATTATTTATTAATTATATGACGCGAATGACTAACAATATTGTGTTTCCTGTTAAAATAATAACTATCGTTTGCACTTAACATCGTAATTTTTCGCTTATTATGAAATACCGGTTTTATTATTATTTATTTATTTTTTTTTTTTTAGCGTCAATAACACCATCAATAATAACATGGTGGATGCAGTTTATTTAATTTAAATGTTATGTTTTTAAAAAAAATGCGTAAACAACATTAGAATATTGTCATATTTATAATGTTTTTAGAAAACTAACGCGCAAAACAGAATAATTTACTGTTCGGAACTCGATTTCGTTTATAATATTTGGAATCGCGGAATCAATTTTATTGTAGGGAACGATTAAAATTCTGATTAAAACTGTGCGAGAATATCGTCACGATAAAAGCACGAAAATGGTATTAAATTTGTGACTTGCACTACACGTAGTCGTACATATAATAAAATACTTTCTGAAGACGTATGATTCGTGCAAATTGTTCGTACATCACGCACACGTCTTGTAATGTTATACAACTTGTTGAATACCACGTTAGTCGACCTACTTATTGTTCTTATTAGTTGTATATGTAATGATAATGTTATTATATAGAAAAATACAATATTATTAACAATTGCTTGGATGAATTTAGTTTCAAATCTTAAGAGGGCCCGATATCCGCATGTGTTGTCCTGGATTCGGTTTAGGTATGTGGTGGCCTTTGAGTGGAATATATATAATATCGAATATAATAATATTGTATTGTAGAATCTCATTGCCCCAAACAAATTAACAGAAGTCAAGACGATACATTTGTTATTTATTAAATAACATTTTATATTTTATATTACATGCTACATATTTAATTTTTCAAGTTATGAAATCAATAATTTTTTAAGAATGAAATTTATCGTTTACTTTTTAGTTAATTAAAATTGTATAAATTAAATGTCCATAGCTTGAATTGTACAATTTACTAGTTTCATTTTTTAAGACCTCATATAATTCGTTTAACTGAATAATAAGTTAACTTCCAAAATTTGTATGTTATATTGGTAAATCTTGAAAAGTTTAATTCGGTACTTTATTTTAAATTTATTGATTATGGTATTTAATTACTCTAATTTTCGAAAAAAGACTAATTGGTGATGTAATTCATTGGCAGACAATCGTTTATCCAAATTATAAGTACGAAAACCTATGATGGCCCAAATTTGTGAGGCCATTATAGGGCCTCGCATTTATATTATATTATAATACTATAGTATACAACGATGATTTGTTTTTAATGATGTAACATTTTTGTAACACAAGTATGTTTTAAAGGAAGGGAGAAGTTCTAAATAACTCTAAAAGATAAAAAAAATGGTTTAATTCTCTGTATCTGAATATTGTGTAAGTACATTAATATTTAATTTTTAATAATTTCGCTCCCTTTCATTGCCAAGCTCTAAAGATGCACCTGAGTCCACTCAGCCGCCCTTAATTCGACCGGGTGCTGTCTCAATCTTATAAACGTAAGAAGTAAATACTGCAACGTACTCATATAACAAATTTGCGATCAGTAGGGCCAATTTTTGGATGTTAGTTTTAATATTAAAGTGAGTCGATACTCGATAATGATTAAACTTAAAAGTAAGAATATTATCTGTACATTCATGGCGGTTATTTTCGCTATTTTAATTATTGAGTAAGATATTATAATAGTAAGATATTGAGTACGTAAATAATCACAATTTAAAAATATTTACGTTTCACTTAAAAATTCAAATATCGAAATACACCTACACAGTTGTACCGATAATATTTTTACCTTTAGGTTGGACAATAGGTCAATCCACTCTAATATTAAAATGTTCAATACAAAATTGTTCCCGCTGAATGCAAATTTTGTTGTCATACGTTTGTAAGACACCTAAGCTACGTTTGAGCTATTTGTTATTCTGCTAGTAGGGTAGATAACTATAACATAGAATTGTTATACCTATAATTTTTAGTAAATTTTTGGCAAATCAATAATAAAAATTTTTTTTTTAACTTTTACTCAATTCATAAAATATTATTAATTTATTTTATTTACTTACCTATCGTATATTATTTGAATTCCCATATTACCCATTATTAACCTAACAATAAACGTGTTAATAGATTTTATTGACCTCAAGTCTTTAAATCAAAAATCTATTATTTATGCATGTACTTGTTTGTATGTAATTACATTATTAACATTTTATAGTATATAATTGTTTTCATTGACCCTTTGAGTTTTTTTTTTCAAATTCTGATAGACAATTAATTATATCCGCTCGTTTGTACAAATACGGTGATTCATCCGTCACTTTCAAATTTAAAATAACAACACGTTTGATTGAACACACATCTTCGTGTTACTAAGTGGCCTACACTGCAAAATAATAATGTTTATGTGTAAAGCATAACGAGTTAAAATTGATTGAAAAATGCACAGGTAGATTATTGAATTGGCTCCAAAATTTAACTATTCGATTAGCTTATCAACATTTATACTTTGTAAATTCTAAATTACATTATTTTCTTAAGTTTATTTTTAAAATACCTTATTAACTAAAAAATTATTTATTTAAAAACCAAAATATTTAATGCATTAGTTTAATGATAAGATAATCTTCGGCAGTGATACGTCGGATAAAATTTTATTTGTGTCACGTACATTTTCAACTTTCATTTTAAATATAATATTTCGAGGAACCACATTTCAAAAATATTATTTCGTGTTATTATGAAACAGTTCAGTAATAGATATATATATATATACCTAAGTTTATTGGGAGCCAATTGGTTAACGGGATTTGCCTATATTAGGAGACAATTCAATAGTCGCCCCTATAATTTTGATTATGATGATCAGGATTCGGATTTTATCTGTATAATTATCACACAATAATTAGCAAAATATGTTACAAAATCAGAGCTCTGATGATGATACATAGATAATATACTATAAGACAAATCGTATACTTGTATTTATTCTTAAACAAAAAAATCAATCTATATCAAAGTTTAACCCAGATGAAAAAATACATGTGATTCTGTTTATCACATGATGCTGTAAGCTTTACGATATTTGTCTGTTATATATTGTATATAGTTTCTATATAGACGTTTTCTATAATATATTATTAAACCGTTAAAAAAATCACATTGAAAACATAATAATATTAAATATAATATTATGTGATAGTATTTTTCAAATATAAGTAATTCATATTCCTACGGCGATTATTACGATTTTTTACGAATAACGGTGTAATATCGTTTATTTATGTAAGATATTTTTATACGCGTATGAATCGATCGTAAATATCTATTGAAATTGTAAAATTTTTGCCAACGATACCGGTCTCAATTTTTATTTTCAGATTTCGTTTATAATATTATTGTTTATTATGCTTTTTAATCGATGAAAACACTTACACATTATGAGAAATATTATTTTAAACGGGTAATGGTCACCTAGATCTTCGAATGACTGGATCTCAAGATCTAAAAGAGACGAAAACGATCTCGTTGACAAAGAAAATAAATGACTACGGAATTTAGTTGACCACAGAGGAGCTAGTTGTCAAAGGGATCTAAATTAGGGTGACCATACGTCCTGTTTTATACAGGTTGTCCTTTAAATCGGCTTTGTGTCCTATTGTCCTGACAAACTTTTTTCAGGGCGCTTTTTGTCCTGTAATTTCAAGTCTGTTTCATATTAATCCCGATTTTTGCCTTACTGTTGATTTATAATTTTTGAAATTGTTGAAATGACATTATTGAATAGAATAATATAAGAATCTATACTTTTCAATTGTATTTTTGGATTTTTGTTTTTACCATTATTATTGTTGCAGCACATTGTTTTCGGCGACGTAAACCAGATCATTATCAAATGTGAGCATATTGTAAAATAAAAATATATTAATAATAACCTAATAATATCTCCATGTCATGGACAAGCGTTATCTTATCGGCAATCAAACATATTTGAAATGTTTTTATTTCATTAGTAGTGTTCCAACAATCGTTGAGTCTTGAGTGTCGTCGATTTGTTAATCGTAATGTCTAATATTGTAAATTTGTATGAAAGTAATCAATTAAAATGCCTAAGCGAAGGTGTGCATTTACTTGTAAATGTAATTTACTAAGTTAAAAAATGAATTTACATTTTTAAGAGATGGTAATGAAATTGGAAAGATTTTATGTACTGTATGTAAATCAGTTTTTCAATAGAAAACGGTGGTCGTTCAGATATTACACAACATGTTAAACAGAAGAAATGTTTATTGACCGTATCAAGCAGTTCTTCAGATAAGGTAACAAATTTTTTCATTAGTAATGTACAGTCAACAAAAGCAAACGTATTACGGCAGAAGAGGGTCTTTTTGCATATCATACTATAAAACATAACCATTAATTTCGGTCTATTGATTGTACAACATTAATTATAAAAAATATTCACGAAAAAAAATTTCCTGTGCTCGTACAAAATGTGAATCTATAATTGTAAATGTAATAGCTCCTTTTATCATTCAACAGTTGTTAGATGAACTAAAATCCATTAAATTCTTGATAATTATGGTGGACACATTAAACCACAAAAATTTAAAACTGGTTCCAATTCTAATTCGTTATTTTTACCCATTAGAGGGAGTGGAAATAAAAGTGATAGAATTTATGAATTTAAAAGGAGAAACAGCAAATATTTTAACAGACTACATAATAATTGTTTTAAAAAAATATAATTTATCAAGTAAAATAATCGAATTTTCGGAGGACAACTGCAATACAAATTTTGGTGGTGTTTCGAAACAAGTCACAAATAATGTTTTTGCAATTCTTAATGACAAATTAAAAAGAAATATTCCGGTATCGGTTGTGCTTTTAGAACATCCCAAATTGTTAAACTTGATTAGTTCTTCAGAAAAATATGGAATAACAAATAGTGAAGAAATGTCAGAACAATCGTCATCAAAATGAATTAACAAGTTTTTTTAAAAAGTAAAGTATACAATATACATGAATAAAGGATTTGAAGACATTTTGAAAAGTATTAATTTAATTTAATTATGTACTATTTTATGTTTTTCAAAATAATATTTTTATGTGTTTAATTTTAATATTTAATAGTTTAAACAACAAAAAAAATATAATAAATACTTATTAATTAAAAAATATTATGGATAATATTTTTGTCTTGTATTTTATTTTTTTAAATATGGTCACCCTAATTTAAATATCCCAGACTCTCAAGGTTTCTATCCATCTCTCATAGTTCTATAGATCCCCATGGGTCAATTAATTCCACTGATAACTAAATAATTTGCGTGTCATTTATATATATATATATATTAAAAAGGTAAATCCGTATATTTGTTATAAATAAATAAATAAATATCTTGGAAATCTAGTTGAAAGGAATCTAAATGACCGTTCACGAAAATCTAGATTACCCATGGGAATCTAGTTAACTGCGGCAGATATAACTATGAAGATAACTATAGAGTTCTAATTGGCTGATGATCTCGTATTACATTTGAAAATAACTAGGACTTCAAACCGAAATTATTTTTTGTGATTGATGGTTTTAATTTTTTTTTTTTTTTTTTTTGGTTTAAAAACCGGTTAATTTTGTTATTTTTAAAATAATTACTTTATTTTATAATTTAAAAATTTTGAACAGCTTCCATAAGACAAAAAATAATCACGAAATTGACACTGCTGGTAACAACTACCTGATTCAAATATTCAAATTAATAAAAAATAATAAAAATCACGTGTTAAATCATACTAATAATGACATACTTGTAACAATATCAGTTATTATTTAGGTACAAACTACAAAGTAAAAGAAAAGAAGAATAATCAAGATAAAGAAAAAATGTTCAACTAATATTTAATAATAATACTCGGCTGTCTAATCATGAAAGTATAAAACACAGTATAATGGCGTAATTAGGACCTTTTTTAGGGAGGTGATATGAATATTTGTTCAATATTTCAAAACAATATCATAAATAATATATTATACTTTTCAAAAAATTATATTAAAACTGTATTAATTACCGAATAATAATTAATTCACTTCTGGACATCTCTAAATAGCAGATGTTTTTTTTTGGAAACGGGAATATTTTCACTATGTACCTATATGAAAGCCTCTTAAGCTCTAAATATAAATATGGGACACTAAATAAGGGATACTTTCTCCCTCGAATGGCGGACAAAATTTCAGTGATCTAAAGTATTCAGTATTCAGAGGTTTCACTATAATGATATGTTTAATATTTTGCATTTTTTATTTTTTGTAACAAGTTAACAAGCCAAAAAGAAAAAGATATATTGAGTCTAGACTTGTTTGGAGAGTAATTTATCATCCACATCACCTCCTTTGATTACGCCACTGACACAGTATGAAAACTAGAAGGAGAATAAACTCCGCTAATTAATTTCATCTCAAATAGAGTCGTACGATTGTTCACCAGGATGTGCAGCTAATTTTCTATAGGTTCTAATGGGTTTTATACTTTTTATTAAATAAAACACACAGAACGGAATTTAAATCATTTTTTATAAGAATATTTTATGTAATAATAATAAATCATTGTTGTTAAATATGTATGATGTTGAATAGGTTGTTATAATGTTATTTATTGAAATTTAAAACTTCATGTAACTTTTATATTATTTTTTGTGATCTTTTTGTTTGTAGTATCTCTATAGACTATAATTGCACCGTTTTTATACAAAATGTATTCTCATTGTAAAAAAAATAAAATCGTATTAAATTTGTATAATTATCTAATAAACATCCAACTAATGAATGTGAATCACTATTATTAGATACAAATTTTGTTAATATAAAAATTGGTACTTATCGGTTATTCCACCAATAAATTATAATTAGGGCTTGGAACTTATTGCATTTAAAATTCACAAAAAACGCTTAAAAACGTTAAAAAAACCTTGAAAAAAGTACTTTTAATAAATATTATTAGACCAAATGGTAGAAGATTTTAAATGTTTCCTGACTAACGACTTTAAATTATTAAATATAATTTTCTAACAAAATACAAATTATTAACAACAAATTATTTTGTGTTAGGAAATTGTATTAGATAAGTAAAAACCATTAGAGGGGGAACATTGAAACCCTTTTATCGTTATTTCTTTTTTAAATATTTTTCCAAACTTTTTTGACGTTTTTAAGTAGTTTTTTGTGGATTTTTAGTGCCATAATTTCCGAGCCCTAGTTTTAATGCTTTTTCACTTTACCCTGTTACATATACCTGACGTAGTTAGTGAGCGCAAAGAACGAGTGACCACATTGGGTTCTAGTTTCAACTATAATGATTTTTTACTTTACCTTCTTAACTACCCGATGTGGTTTTGCTCAACTAATCGAGGGTTATTTCGATTAAAATTATCCGAGTAAACGCAGTGAAAAGAAATAAAAAGAAAGAAAGGTAGTCGTGATAACCGATAAGTATTTAAAAATGTTGTCTACATTAAACTCTTCTGTTAACAAACTAAGACAAAGTCATTATTTTTCTCATTAATCATATTATTAACTAATATCATAGATTGATAAATACTATTTGAATTTATACAATGATAATAAATTATTTACTTTTAAATAAGTCACACATGAAAACTTGGTAATATAATAAAATATAGGACAAAATAATAATAGGAAACAGCTAAAATTATAGAAATTTGAAATATTACAAAGTAAATAATTACAAATTACTTTATTTTTTAGTATAAACTGTAGAATAAAGAACACCGGGTAAAACTTTTGGAATAAGTAATATAAGTATATACAATGATATAATTTAATATATAGTGAAACAAATTAATTGTATTATTTAATTAACTAAAAATATGTATAATTCATTTATATTCCTATATTGTACATGTTAAACCAACTATGCTATTGTGCGCTACGCTATCTGGTGGCCATTTAATCGTGTGACTCTTTTCGGTACATTATTTAAATGGGCGATCGTATGACTTTGAACTCATATTTTTTTTATAGTCTTCATAAAACACAGTAACCAGCAATCTCATGCATACTTAATCAGCATTAAAGGTGGCAATGTGGTAGAATACCACAATCACTTTTCATATTAGAAACAGAGTGACCAGAATAAAAAAATTATTTATTTTCATTCTAGAATGAAATATAAATTTGGTTACTTAAACATTTCATTTTCGTTCTATAAAATAGCTAATTCTGGTTCCATTTTCATTTTCATTCATGTAAATTTTTCAATATAACCAGTCAATGATAAAACCGGTTTTAACCCTGAAAATGACGTCATATTGTGTAACGCATAGCCTGCAGGCTAAAGAAAAAATATTAATTTTTAATTATTTACAGATTTCTATGAGTAATTTATAATTCAATCTGGTCAATTTGTTCTAAAATTATCATTGAAATCAAACAGTTAGTATTTAGTAAAGTAATTATTTAATTTTTTGCTATTTAGGTACTACATAATCTAACTTCTTTTATATTTATATTACAGCTGTTCGGATACAGGTTTCGATTTAAACAATACAATGTTTACGTTCTAGTTTTGTTTGATATAATATTAACTATGAAAAAGTAAAGAAATTTAAATTTAAAAATAGGTAGGTAGTCATTTAAATAATAAATTGGTACTAAAAGCGGTTCAACGAAAGGGACATAATAAATATCTCTCTAATCTCTTCCTGTAAATACATCCCGAGTATCTGCAGATAGTTTAGCTAAGCGATAAAACTGAGAGGAAGTGAGAACAGTAACAACATAAAACGTTGGTAACTACTGTATGTTCCTGTTATAGTCTGATAATCATAACAGATCGTTAGAAAATATTAGTAATAATATAAGTGTCGTATAGGCTTTTAATAAACATCATAAAATAGGACGTTTTAAAATAATGTATTTAGATAATTATTTATATAGGTTATTATTTACCTATAAGTTTAAAGTTCGTTTCAACAAAACATTCTAATCTATGGAATTAAGGTTGAAACCGTATAATATACGGAGTTACGAAGATACGAAGTTATCGGTATAAATTCTATAGCATAAATATTATTCTCGAATTAATTTTAGATTAGATAAATGCGTAACGAACAATGTATTTGTGTTTTACTATGTGTGTTTTAATTTTTCTATCTGTGATCAATTTTTACCAAAAATCTTGATCCGATCATAATCTACAACATCATTTCTATAAGCAGATTGGGTCTGCTTTTGAACTAATGAGATTATTTTTTACAGGGAAAATAAATACATGCAATAATGATTTCCGATATTTTTAATTTTGTTTATTAGTTGTAACTTAGTTTAACTCGAAGTTTTTTAGTTTTTATTTGGTTTTATGTGGATAAAATTAATTTATCAGTATAAGTTTGATTTTCTTATATATATGAGTATATTGTAAGCCAAATAAACCTTAGTATACATTTAAAAAAATTTATTTATCGATCCTGGAATCTGGTAAATATTGTAATAAGATAAATGGGTATTGGTTTTATAGGTTACCTAATAATTTATAGTTGTATACTGCATAGGTAGTCACGAACATTTATATAAGTAGTAAATCAGATACAAGGTCAAATAATTATATTCATATATATTGGTATTAACAATAAACACCGATATATTATAAAGAATATACATATGGAATATACTTTTCGTGAATAAATTATAATTAGTAGTAATATTGTTATATCAGATAATTTTTTTCTAATATACATATATACCCTATAAAATTAATTCGATATATTGACATATACATTGATGACGTTCGGTATCAAAGATCATAATCAAAAATTTTGAATTTTCAAAAAAATTGTTCAAGCTAATGCGGTTGAACTAGACATTTATTTGGATGAAATTGAATGGGTTACTAAACCTAACCTAACTTAACCTAACCTTGGTATCTATTATTTTATTTTGATTAT